AGGTAGTTATAACATTCCAGCGAAAATAAATTTGCGGAATTAACAATTTTATTAATAGACCAAAAAATTAAATCAGAACATGAAGACAGATTTTTATAAAAATTTCAAATTTTGGCCTATTAGAACTTAAACTTCTAACAAAATTAACAGGACAATAAACTATTTGTCAACATAGATATATTGAAAAAAAATTGATTATATATTTTCCATTAGAATGGTCCCTTTAAACTAAGCCCATCCAAACCTGCGTTCTATTGAAGGATTTAGACTTATGATTTTTTTGTAAAACTACTTGTACTCATGAAATTAATTCCTCTTAAAATGGGTTTGTTAGCAAGATGACATTACGCCATAAAGAAAAAAGTTAAAATTAGAATTAATCACCTCAGTTAGTGGTCTACTTTGACTTATAATGTGGATATAATAAGTATTCTAGCTCGAAAGATTTAGATTTTCTTGAATAAATGTATGATTCATTGTATATCGTTGATCCCATAGATAAAAGAAAATTATTATAATTAATGTGTGGATGATGTTTTGATGGATTATTGAATTGGTGCATTAGGCTAAAATTAACATAAAATTTACATGTTCATATAAAGAAATAATATTAAGTTTGGTTATTACTATGCATTTTATAAAGGGATGAAGTGGGTAATTTATTGAATTTAGAGATAAAGGTTTTTACTGAAATTATTATTACTGAATTTACGATTTTTGTTATTAATTTATAAAGGTTATTATCAATTTTATTATTTTATTGTTTTTTATCATATCCCAAATCTAAAAATTAGCCTAACTAAAGTTTTATGTTTTGGCTACTTAATCACTTATTACTATTATTTTTATAGAGGAGGCTATTAGAAAATAGTTGATTTGGTTGTTGAATAAACTCCTGAAAATCTTTGAACACCTTAATATAAAATAAATAGTAGCAGTTTTGGGATTATTTTGAAAAACAATAAAAATATCAAAAATTTCGATTTCAAAGATCTAATTTAAAGTATTCTAACTAATTAATCTAGCTTTGAAGAACTAAAAGTGCTTATAAATAATTATATCATGGAACTTGATACTATTAGCTCTTATTCTTAATTATTAACAAATTGATAATCAATTTTGGCAATAATTACTAAATAATAATAATCTATTTTAGTTAAAATATAAATCTAAATAGATTATTTCTATACCGAAAACAAAATATTAAAAATGTAATTTTCTGAGAGCTATAAATAAATCATTTCGTTATAAAATACTAATTATATAATTCTCAATTATTTATATTTCTCTAGTTTCTACATGTTTAGAAATTAAGATGCTCTCAATAAGTTACTTATATATTTTTGTTTCAAAATAAAAATAAAAATAAATTAAATAAAAAATTGATTGTTATAATTGATATTTACAATCCACTTATTAATTCAAGTTCATAAAGATTAAGGTTACATAATTTATATTCTATATGAACTGATCTACAGTTGAATTGATCATCAATTTAAATTCTTGAATTTCAAATTTTCATTACATAATGTAAGGATGACGAAAAGTAGTTCTTTCTAAGGTAATCCAATATATGTTGGTTTATCATATATTCCTAATTATTCATTTTGATATTTTGCTAACTAGACTTACTTTTAGGAGTAGCATCAAAGGTTTTTTCAGGAAGTGCAGATTTCTTCTTTTACCTTATACAAATTTAGAGAACCTTTTCTATTCTTCCGACTTCTAATTTTCGAACCTTAATATTATCTTATTAATGCTCTTTTGAATTCCCTATAAGTCTATATATTCTTATAGCTAATTCATTCTCAAGATAACTAGTTAAGAAAAGAGCATAATTGTATTTTTATTTTTCAAAACTTTTATAAAAGAAACACCATTCGTGAAAGTAACAGTTTAAAGCAAATTTGATTTTACAACATTTTTACCAACTTTACTATATTAAGATTATACAAGCGCTTTACTTTTAGATTTATTTTTACCTAATAACTAACGATCATTCGATTATTAATAAATACAAATACTGTTTTAAAGATTTTTTTTCCATCCCTTCCTATTCTATAAATCTTTAAAATAAATTTTATAATTATACTGGAAGCTTGAGGTTTTTTAATAAAGTTCATTTTGAAAATATCCATCAAGATTTATAGAATTATACTCAGAGAGTCCTTCTTAAATAATCTTAGAATATAAAAATTCGGCAATCCTTAATTCAAGATATATTCTAGCCTAAATATTTAAATTACAGAACTCATTCTCCATTTACTAAATGAGAATTTTCTGCTTTAGGATAATTTAAATACATAAAAATACTTTTGCATTCTTTTCTCTTTAGTTTGATCATAATGTTGAAAATTCTCACTTTCAATTTGAAAGTCTCTACATATAAGAGTAAGATTTTTCTATAATGAGATATTTGATCAATAAATTTGTATTCGAAAGATAAGACAAGAAAAAAGACAAGAACCTATATTGATATTACAAAGTCTATTAATAACACTAAAAAAACAACAAGAGCAATCAACTTTCTATAAAAGATGATTAAATAGGCGAGAAAAATTATCAAACTCTCAGCTGTTTGATTAATTATCCTGTTTTTAGAAAAGGCTTAGGATAAAATTTTGGAAGATGTATGAAGTAAAGCTATGGATGTTAGCATATTTAACTCAAAATATGATTTCAAAACCAATAATTGTAGAATTGTTTGAATATTTAATTAATTAGTAATTAGATTTGAGTCAAAAAAGGCTTAATTTTAGAATACCTTTCTTAACCTCGATAATTTTAGCCCTATGTATCTACTTTATAAGTGCTAGAAAATGCGAGAATAACCTTTTTGAGCCTTTAAAAATTGAGTAAACTTTATCAGATATCATAGATATTTTTTTAATTCATTTAAATCTAGACTAAACCTAATATAAAATCAAAATTATTAAAAGATGAAAATTTGATTAAAGTATTCTTTAGTTTTTAGAAAAAAATAGAAAAACAATTTAAGAATCACTTAAGGAGTCAGAGATGAATTAAATGATAATTCATTTTGGAATAAATTTGATGGTAAGCAAACTACTTATGATATTTTTAATCTTAGAGTGACTATATTTTTACGAATATTCTCCATGTTAATGATAATAGAATAAAAGTGATTATGTTTAAGATGACATATCACCATCATTCTTAATTTCATAAACACATGATTAAAATCTTCGTGATATATTTATTAATGCAACTGGCTTTAAAGATGGTTATTCCATTTTTGCCACTCATATTAATGGGATAAATATGAGAATAAGAAATCTAATCATTTATTAGTTAAATATTTGAGTTAAAACTTGTTTGAAATTTTAAGCATTTTTTATTATTATCTCAAATAACTATAAAATTCTTAAAGAAGTAATCAAGAATGAACTCAAATTTCTGCAATTTTAAATTAACATATATCCTCTTTTTATAAACTTGTATTTATAGAATTAATCTAGAAATAATTGAGAGATTTAATCTTATCAATTCATAATAAAGTAGAATTTATTGAAATTTGTTAGATGAAGAAGCAAGAACAATAAAGAAAATTAAATAAATTGCTCAATCAATGTAAAGTATCATATTCTTATATAAGTGATAGAAAAAAAATGAAAAGATTAGCTTATTTTTTCATTTTAATCGAATATTAAGTCTAAATAATTATCTTGAGAGGAATTTCAACATGGGTATTGCGAGAGACAAAAAATTTTAAATCTGCAAATGTTATAATCAAACTTTAAAGAATCAAGCTGGAGTAAGATATGTTGACTGGGTCATGAAATGTTTGTCAGGATGGTTTTTGAGTTAAATTCTATTTGATTTTCTAGATATTCATCCTTCACAACAATATGTTAGAATTATAAATTAATATATCAGTAAGTATTGGATAAAACTTCAATTTAAACCATTCTATATAATTTTAAATATGATTCTTCTTAAAAGAAATTAATAACAAATTAAACTTGATAAAAATAATTGAAATTCCTAAGGTCAAACTTAGTAATCAAATTCGTTAAAATTAACCTAGAATTGCAGAAGTTTAAATCATCCAAATCATTGAGCAAATTCAAAAGTTTTTGATTATTTAAAGTTTAAAGGAAAGTCTTAAAGGAATTTAAAATCATCAAGAGTGTATAATTTTTCGAATGACAAAATATGAAATATATTCATGCCAGTAGATTTTACTAATTGCTAATAATTATTTAAATTTTTTGCAAAAATTAATGAAATACATAATCAATTAAATGTAAAATCTATTTTAAATAGAATAATCACTTAATCAGATTATTTTTTTTACAATAATTATAAATAGTATCATTAAATATCCAACAAAATCTATCGATTATAATGTCCAATTATGAATAAAAGCAAACATATTTTAATTATTTTTGCTCAAAGATAATTTGATATTTCATTTTTTTATGTTAGTTCTCTTATTTATCTAAATTTAAGGTGTTTCTATGATAATATAATTTCTATTTTAATTATAATATCAAATTTAAGGTAAATATTTAATGGAGATGATGAAAGAAAATATCATTATTCTAAATTCAGTTATCTTTGTTAATATATCTTCTTCATACCATTTTCTAAATAAGAAAAACAAATACTAAAATTATCATATCTCTATCTATCATAGTTAAGTAATTTATTTAGAATAATTATACAAAATCAGTGCTAGTTGGAATTTATCTTTTCCCCAATTGCAGAAATTATAATTGTCTTCCTAGTTATATTTAGACTAGAAAATTGAATCATTTTAGACACTTCCTGATATTATTCTTTCCAGTCTAATAATTATAAGCAGCCAAGTCGAAAACAAAATTAAGAAAATTAGGATTACAAAAATTCGATTCAACATTTATTTCCTATTAAATTATATGATATAAATGAGCTTTCTTAAATTTATGTTAAAAATATATTATTATTATTTTAACCCTTATTCATGGAACAACACAAAAATAAATTTACTTACTTTATCAATTCCTTAAAAGCTCCTCAATCACCTACTCATTTTTTCTTTTGGTAATCTCGATCATCCCATTTTTTAATTATTATAATATTCTTAGTCTCTTATATAATTTAGATGTTAGATTATACTATGTTTTTGAATCAATATTTTATTGGAATGCAATTCGCATTTCTTCTAAGCTAATTTCAAAATATACTATAAGTTTTTAGGAAGTAATAGAATTCTTTATAGATGGGCTTCGTTTCATCCCTTCTTTTAAATGATCCATAGTAATATCTAAGATTGCTATATCTCCTTCCAAAGTTTTATTGATTATTTTATTGATCACTTTAAATTTTGATGTTTCATAATATTGAAGAATATTATAGATAAATTGATCTTTAGTATTTTTAGGCAAACATAATTCAGTTTTTAATATTTTATTCTTTAATTACTAGAGACGATTAAGAGTTAATTTGTTTTAAAATTACTCTACTATCAAGCAATTTTTGAAATAAGGTTACATATGTATGATATATAATAGCAGTCTTTGTCTGAAATTCATTCTAATTGATATATACTTTATCTTGGTTAATTGATAATTCATATTTCTTTCTCTATCTTCAATATGTTACTTTATCTATCCATTAAAGTCTATCTGAATTCCTAAATATTTATATCAATACACAATTGGAATTTAATGAATTTCTTTGTTAATTATCTTACTTTTGATTGGTAAATTTTCAGATTTTTGGTATATAATAAGAATTTCCATTATTTTGATAAATTTTGTAATTACAATAAAACCTTTTAATTTTTGATTCTTTAGAACAAAAACTAAATAATTCTCGAAAAAAAAAAATTTAACTTTCAACTTAAAATCTCTTAAAATACCATCAAAATAAATGTAAAAAGGTGGTATTGAAGAAACTTGCAGTACACCATCTAAATAATAGGAAAAACCATTTTTATCATATTTATTGGTAACAAATTTAATAATTTATAATTATCATGACTTTAATAAAAAATAATGAACTTATATTCTGAAGTTTTCATAAACAAAATTGAGATAACATTTTTTGGACCCCCTTAAAAATACAATACTCCATTATGAATTCGATCATGAATTTTCCAGAATTTTCTAAAAAAGAGATGAAACAATTTTAATAGGTGGCTTCAAATTTATGGGCGTAGTATTTTATTTATAACTGTTTACAGGGGTTCCTTTTACGTTTATGATTCCTAATGCTGATGATTTTGATTTATCTGGTAGAATTAGATCATTGCATAATTAAACTTAAATAAGATAAATTTTCATATTAATCAAATTCAAATACTTCAAAGTTTCTCTAGAGTGTAAGAATAACTAAAATTATCATTTATTAATTATATAAACATTACAAAATTAGAATTAAATATATAAAATTCTCATATACTGCATTATTCAAACTTGTAAATCTTTTTTTCAACTTATTTGATTGCCTTAATGGACTCTTAAATAGTCATAGCAGCATTTTTAGCATTTCCAATTTTACATCATCACCCATTTCCATCATTAAAAACTTTCCCATTATATATCAAATAGTAAAAGGATCCGAATCTTATTCTAAGAAATTAGATAATTAATGCTGTTATTAAAGGATTATGATTTATATTAATTTATTTTCATTCTTTATAATTCTGTCTACTTGAAAAAAAGAATAAATATTTATATCCACATTAAAAATGAACGGTCGAATTCATTCTAAATAAATTACTTATATAAAAAATATAGCAATTAAAAAATAAATATTTGTATTATAATTTTAATTTTCCTATGAAAAAAAAAAGATTTATTATAATTTTCTTTGATCTATAATCCAATTATAAATTTATTTGATCAATGAATCCAAATATTCAAAATCAAAGTTTAATTGTTTTCATAGAAGGAAAAATATATCAAAGACATTAAGTATTCTCTTGTTAGGGTACTCAATGAATTAATTATATTGGAACTTTATTTGTGAATCCAAAAGAAAAAATACTAATAAAATAATACAATTCTATATCGAATGATTTAATAATAGTGCTTAAATAAATTAAAAGATAATAGAATGAGATACAACCGAGATGCCAACATATAATTAAAATACGGATTAGATATAATAAAATTATTGATTGTTATGGAAAAAAGTCAAAGGCAATATCTTAAACTTAATCAATTCTAATAGATCTCTTAGTTTAATTTTGAAAATAAAGAAATAATAATAAGTATAATATATCATATTTTAAGATGGTAAAAGGAGCGATGGAATTACATAATTGAGGTTATTTTCATAGAGATCTGAAACCAGTAAACTTTGTCTATTTTGAAGAAAAAAATAAAGTAAAAAATAGATTTTGGAGATAATGAAATAGAATATTTAGATTAATTTAAGTTGATTATGAAAGAAAAGCAGCTGAAACACAAAATTCAATAAGAAAATAACATTTTATTGTAAATAATTAATTGTATATTAAATATAGAAAATTCTTAAAGATCAATTATCAATTAATTTTCAATTTTAAAAAAAACACGAGTGCAAATTATAGAAAATTGCTGAAATAATTGTAATAGAAATAAAGACCTAGTAAGAATATTTAAGTTTGTAGCATTTAAATTAGAAGATATTTCAAGTAAAATTAAACGATTTTTAAACAAAAAAGGTTAATAGAAATAATTAATTGAAGATTTGATCAAAAGAGTATAATAAATTAATCTATAAAAAGGTAAAAGATAGAGAATATTTTAGACAGAGTTTCTCAAACAACTAAAGAATTATCTTAAGACTTGCTGAATAACAATCTAATTAAGTTATATGAATATAGAAAAATGCAAGCAGAATATTTATAAATAGCATTAAATACAATAAAAAAAAATATCAATTAAATAATTAAACCCTGAATATACTTTTGAATGATGAAATATAAAAGTTCATCAAAGTTTATAATTAAAAATTTGGAATTATATAAAATATAAAAAGCTTTATAACATTATATAATATAATATCACTTAACAAGATATTATGACAGAATTAAAGAATATGCAAATAAATAAACAAAGATTTAATAGAATAGCAATTAAAATGATTACAAAAAGTTCTTCTAACCTAAATTAAACATAGATTACGAAGAAAACACCAAAAAAAAGAGAAACAATCTTAAGATATATTCTAAAGATATGAAAATATTTTATTTAAGAGTTACAATAAGATGACGATAAAAGCAATGGAAAAGGTAATGAATAATTGACGAACCAGATTGAAATTAAAAAATATCAAATTAAATAAAAAAACTTTGTAAAATTAAGAGCTAATTTTAAAGATTAATTAAATATAAATATAAAAAAGATTATTAATGAAAGATAACATTAGAAAATTAGTGAGTTCACATAAATACTAATCATGAATATAATCAACAAAAAAAGTAATTAAATAAATCAATACTGATATCAAAATTTAAATTTTTCAACAAAAAATTCTTAAAAATTAATAAATGTATTTCTAATAAATAATTAATTTTTATTATCTAATATTAGTTTAGATTATATAATTATCTATAAATATTTTATATTTTAATTTAATAAGCATCTATGAAAACACTAAAATTACAATATATCCTATATTTCTTAAAAAACATCTTCTTCATGACTTACTTTTTCAATCAATTGCTTTCCAAAAATGGAGAAATATCCCAAAGTAAATGGTAAATGCTAAAAAAGTTATGTTTAGGCAAATTTTTTGTCCATTGTATATTTTTTTGCCCTTTTCATTCCAACAAATGTAGTGGATGTAATAGAAATACCATAGCTAAACAAATAGATTAATGATACAAAATTGGCCATCAAATAATTGGCACTAATAATTGATTCATCTAAATAACTAACAAGTACTAAATATATATTATAACTTATCCATTCCGCACAAAAAAAATCCAATAGGATTATCTTCTTTAAGAAACTTGATTTTATAATAAAAATATAAATTTTATATCGAAATAATGTACCTTCACAACATATTATTACAAAAGTGAAATATAATAACAGTATATTATTTATGATTTCAAAGCATGTCCATCCTAAAGAACATCTAATTAATTCCATTCCGTATTAAACAATAAAAAAATAACTAATTCCAAAAAAAAAATCCATAAGGTTAGTTAAATATAAAATGGATAATATTAAATATTTTAACCATTTAGTTATACTTTAGTTTTCAAAAAATTTGCATCTAAATATACTTCTGTAAACATTTATTTATTAAATCTTCCTGCTTATTGTACTAATTATTTGTTGCTAAAATGAATCAAATTTTACCTATTAATAAGTGACATCAATTGTTTTGAAAATGCCAAAAAAAATGATATAGTTATCATCAATAACTTAAATACCAATAAGGATCTATAATAAAGTTTTGCACAAAATTCAAATTAAGTTTCCCCATATGTTCGAAACACTATAGTTTCCAAACCAGTTGCAAAACCATTTCCATACCAAAAGCCTAAATTATTAATATATCCAATTCTAAAGCTCTTACTAATACTGAACCCTACTCTTAAAATTCAATCAAGTATATGAAAATTGTATTTGAAAAATATCCAAAGTTAAGACTCATTGCTGTTTATAACGAAGGAAAATTAATTCTCTTATTGCTTATTTACTTTTTTGAGGCTCTTTGATTAAGACCAATTCACCCATCTTTTTAATTAAATATTTAACCTCATTTTATCTCTACTTATCATAAAAAATGTTAATTAAATAAGTCTTAGATTTAATTTATTTTTATGTATATTATTACTAATTGAGGACAAAAACCATTATTTTTTAAAAGAATAATTTATTAAATATTGAACAACATTTATACCTTAATTATAAATTATTTTCTGGTTAAATCCCCCCTAAATACAAAATTAATAACTTAATACTGTCCTATCATTTTGGCTTGGAGAGATGATTAAAAAAGTGTATGAAAGAGATTTTATAATAAATTTCCCAGTTTATACTGCAAAATCAATTTGGATTTTTCATCTAAGTTTAATTTTTATTTATGAATACTTTTATAAACAATAAGATTAATAATTGTATTTCTATCAATAATTAAAATAATGTAAATCTGGTTAGTTTTAGAGTTTTAAATGTCTGAATTATAAAAGTTAAACTTCATAAGATAGAGTAAAAGATAAAGAAAAGAAAGAACTTTTACATTTGTGACAGCAATTGATAAGAATAAGAAGAAAAAAATAATAATAAAAATATGTTAAAAAGAGATTAAGGAGGTTATTTAGTTAGGTAACAAAGTAAAGCTCATTAAGATGGTATTATACATATTGATTTCAGTAAAAATACATGAAATTTTGTTACATAATCATTTGATTTTATTGTCGTTATTAACAATGGTCATCGAAAGGAATCAATCTGAAAAAATTGAGCATTTATTTTTAGATCATGATAATAATTGATATTATAAAATATTTCAAAAATAAAAATCTAGAGTGGAACCAGCAGAATCAATGAAATAGAAGAAGTTCAAAAATTAAATGCACTATAATATAACTTTTTGTATGTAATGAAATATAATCTTAATATCATAGATATATGAATTAAAAAAATACAAACCTTGCTTATCAACTGATTGTCTTTATATTCAAACCATGCTTAATAATTAAATTAGATGAAATATTAAAATGATACAAATAAATATTAAATCAACCTTAAACTCCAAAATAGATCTTATAAAACTAATCTGAAGAATCTTAATTTGGTGAAAAACTTAGGTTAAGAATCCAGGCTCTTAGAATTTTTTGGAGTGATAAGCAGTCCACATTTTTTAATTATTTTGCTATAATAGACAGAGAGGAGAAGCAAAAAAGGGATATTACTTGATTTATAAATATAAAAGTAAGGAGAAAATCAAAGATTATTAAGAATAAATAGTCAAAGGAATATAAATAATGAACTAATTCATTAAGTTTCAATATAATTAACTATTTACAATCATCAACTATTAAAAAATATTTAATTTTTGTATGAATAAAGAAGAGTGAATACAACTGAGGAGTTCATTCACTTATTTATTAAATAAATATTCATAATTAAATTAGTAGAGCTAATAGTATTTAAATTGAATTTCCAAAATTTCCTTAACTTTTGATAGTGTTACTGTAATAAAAAGTAGGGTTTTTTCTAACTAATTTTATTTGTTTCTCAAATTCATTTTCTAATTACTAGAAATTATGCTTTTAATTCAGATTATTCATTCAAATTGTCTACTTCGATTTAAACAAAAATTAAAAATAATATCTTGATATCTTAATTTCCAAATTATAGAAAAAGAATATTTATTCAATAGAAAATTAAAAAATAAGTTGGTATTAATATAATGGGTATAAAATTTAGGAGGTTAAATTAAAATTCTTATAATTAAAAGGAAGTTATACATTTCTGATTGTTTTTAGCTATTAAAATAAATCAAATAAAACGAAAATTAATAAAATCCATTGTTTAAACAATATAGATAGATATTAGTTGTATGTCTACTAATGAATTTCTTTATCAATAACAATATTTATAATTTGTATATTTAACAAATAATGTTTTATGAATATATATTTTTTTTGAATATATTTTATTCTCTCAAAAATAAAATACTTCACATAACTGAATATTTGGCTTAGCCCCTCCAAATAAATATTCACTCTGATCTATTTCATTATTTTAACTATCCCATATGAAATCCTGACCCAACATTGATTTTCCATCAATCAAATTAGCATGTATTTCCATATCATAATTCCCGACTATAAAACTCTAACTATAAATTTAATTTTTGACTTAATATTATTATATATCACCACCAAGGTTTTGCATATTTTTTTTCATTTATTTAATTGGATAAATTTCATTATGATTATATGAAAAAATAAATTCTAAAGAATCTGATCTGAAATAACCAAAAATAGGGTTTCCCTTATTATTAGATTTAAAAATTATTAATTTAGTATAATTTTAATCTTAAGTATCAAAAGATGATGAACATTATCTTCTTTTTATAGCATGAAAAGATTATTTTTATTATTATTAGGGATTCTTATTCCAAAATTGCTATCCACTTACAATCTCTTCATTTTTTGGCTCAAATATACTATATGCTTTCAAAAGAATTTATTAATTTTGCCATTGAAAAGCACAATTTTGCCATTAACTAGCATAATTTAAAATGTATTCAAAATAAAATTGTGGTAAAATCCTTGAACTATAATAAGGGAGATTGTTGACTGAAAACTAAAACGTGGATCTTTCTATTTAAACAAATTCTGAACTGCTTTGACTTTATACCCATATAGATTCTTGATTGCTTTATTAGTTTTAGTTTTTGCTATAAGGATTAAATGTTTATCCTGTTGAATAAATAGAGTTAAAGGATGTACAAAAGTAATGTTTTAACTGGTTTGTATTACTATCAATTTAAACTGATATTTCACTGATTTATTTATTACAATTTAAATTCAATCTAAAATCATTAAATATTTTACTTATATATTGCTAATTAAGTTTCTTTAAATATCGTTTTTATCTTGCTACTTTATTCTTTCATTAAATCATCATTCACTTTTTCGCTTATAGCGTTCAATTTTTTTTCTATTTAATCCTAAACATCTTGATTATCTTATAAACCAAATTCATTAATTAATTAGTAAATTTCATCTATTTTGAATTACTAGAAAAAAATATAGAACTTTTCTATACTTAATACAGCTAGTCTCTGGATTCTTTACATTTCGTTTTGAATTCCTATAGACTGGCTCTTCCATTCTGAATAAAATTCTTTAGATATTCACATAAATAATTAAGTGATTTTTCCAATTATCCATAATATTTTTCTAATGTTTCCTCTGAAAAATCATTCAAATTTTTATAAAGGGTTTTGTATTATTCTTCAACTGGAATATGATGTACTAGAATACTTGGGTTTTCAATAATCTATATATATTCAATTAATTTACTTCTGGTACATAAATTATATGTGATTTTTCTTAAATTTCATCTAAACATTTGATACATCCAAAATCAATATTCTTTTTAAGAATCCTAACCCATTATATAAAAAAAATTGGATGTTTTTTGCAAGGTATGGCTTTATACATTTAAATATATTAATGATAATAAAAATAATTAAATATATCGATTTATTAATCTCCAAATTCTATCATCATTAGTTTAGAAAAATATGTAGAATGATAAAGAAAAATTACAAATTTTCAACCATTTTACAAATTTTCAGATATTTCAGAAATTTCTTCTCCTATCCACAAAAAAGTATATTATAATCATGAACTAAATATTTTATATCACTTGGAAATTAATGAAATTTTATAGAGTTAGAGGTATATTATAATTAAAAAGAAATCTTTCTAAATTTAATTATATTTCTGTAGATATATTAACAATAAAAAGGAATCCTCAAAAATTTCTGTGTTAAATTATTTGATTTACTTAAAAATGGTAATATCTGCAATTTTCTGAGAAATTCTCAAAATCGCTACTTTACAGTTTTGTTTCATAAGCTTAAGCCAACAAAGAAAGATCAAGATTATTAGGATGTTTTCATAATTAGATGCAATTTTGTACATGAATTAAGATAAAATATGATAAGGTATTAGAATAATTCTGAAAATTTGATAAGGTTTTACATGAAAAAAATAAGATAATGGAAGTATTGGATTAGAATATCAATTAAATAACACCAATTATATTAATATATGAATTTTATAAGACAACTAAGACAGATTTCTTATAAAATGTTAAATAATGAATTAATATGTAAACAGCTCACTCAGATTAAAATCACAAAAAATATTGCCAGAAGAGAATTTCATCATCTTGAGAAATAGTAGAATAATAGATTATGGTCAATTAGTTATGACTATGAGTATTATATATATAAGGTGTAATTGATTTGATTAATTATTTAACAGAAATACTTTAATTATTAAAAATAGAAATTCCAGATTGACCATAATATTTTTGTAGGTGAACAGGTGAATTACTATGCAATTAAGAGTTTTGAAGAAATTTTTTTTCAATTTTGGCTCTCCAGTTTTAAAAATCCTTGATATCTATGTACAATAGATTTAAGATTGGTTGAAATGATTAAAAAATAAAACTCTGCAACTATTGAAGATGTTTAAATCAGTAGTATATAGAACTGAAACATTGAATCATAAGTAAGGTTTTGCTCCAACTAAACCTCATGATTAATTAATAAAAGCTAATCTCACTACATCAAATGGATTATTCAATGTCATTATCTATATTTTCATGCGAAATATCTAAGAATATTGTCAATTTTGGTGAATTGAGTAATGTTCCAACAAAGAATTGTATCCAGGCAGGATTCCTTCAACTTCATGTTGCTAGAAATAAAAAAATAAACATTGCAAGTAAATCACTATTTAATGTCACAAGTATGAGATTTGAATGCATGAAATAACCATTAGATTACAAATTGAATCTTCTTTTTTGGCTATTTTAATGTTAAATCATTAATGATAATTTAGATATTATTATTGGTGTCAGAATTTTAAGAAGGCGTTTATAGAAATCTATTTAAAATAGAATTGGGATCTTATTATTAGATAAAGAAGAGCTTCCAATTGCCAGAATTTGAATATAAAAATATATATTAAAATGATCAATTTATTTTATTGTATTTGTATATAACAATATATACATTATAAATAAATTTCAATAATTTTTAAAATTCAGAAAAGGAAATTTATTGATTAAAAAAACTCAATTTTACATTTTTTTTTTATTATTAAGTGATGGTGTTGGTTTATTCAATTTTATATTAGAAAATTTATCTTTTTTATTCTTTAGTTAGATTATTACCTAATATCATAAATTTATGAAATCTACTTTCACATAACAAAATGTAATAATGTAATATCATAATTATAGATGTTAAAGCATATTGTTTATTCATGTCTCAAAAATAATTCTATTATCAAAATATTACATAAAAGCAGGCAATTATATAAATATCCTTGGTAAGGTTAAATTATATAAAAACGTTTAGCAATTATATTTACAAATTTATAAATGCTACAAAATTTAAATTATAAATAAATGTCATTTATTATAAATCTGATTTTAAGAAACTAAAGATTTAAATTCTTTATTCATTTTATGAGCCAAAATCCTATGATTAAAATGAATCATCTGAATTTATATCTTCTTTTTCAGCTCTTTCTTTAATATATTTTTTTAATTTTCTAATACAAAATATATTCTATGAGAATGAGCAATTACAGTATCATAACACATGCTATTTGTTGTTAAGCACACCTAATCCTTATCTAGTAGTTTTGTAGATAGAATGAGAACAATTTTAATTTTGGCTATTAGACTAGTAGATATAGTGACAATATTTCTTGTATTTGATAATATGATTTTGATAATATTTCTATTTTAATATTAAAACAATTTAAACATTTTGAAGTTATTACACAATACTATATATAGATTTGGTGAAGACAAATCTTAGTCTTAAAAATTCAAATATATCATTATTCATCTTAATAAATTTCTATTTGAAGAACAAAAAAAATTTACATTATTTCTATAAGCCTTTAAAACTACTTCTAATATTTATGCTTTAATTCGTTGCTTTTAATTCTTAAGAAGATTTTTAATTAAAAAAAATACCTAATTATTTACTAGATTCTAATTTATAAAATATAATTAATAATACACTTTTTGTTAATTTCTATTCATTCTATATAAGTAAATAATTTTTATTTGAATACACTATCTCTATCAAATAAAAATTATGAAATTGAAATATAAAAAAGTTCAAATATTGATTGATTTTTGATTATATAAATATTTTCCAATATTCCTAAAATTTAAAGAGTGTTATATTTTTTATATAGAGCTTATAATTAAGGTTTAAAACTAAATAATTTTAGAAAAGTACAATCTTTTAATGATTCTATTACTGAAAATAATAAAAGAATTATAAAGAATCAAACTAAAATAAATATTATCAGATTCACTATTCATAACCAAATATAATAATATTAAATCAATATTTTTGAATTTGATATATATCAAAAGAATCTTTTATTTTTAAAAAACTATTGATGTATTATTTATATCAATTGCTAAATTAAAAAATAGGTAGTAATCTTATTTTATTTGCAAATTTACTAAAAGATTATCACACACCTTGAAGTATATTCTTCCCTTTTCATTTTTAAGATATTCATGAAATCTTTACAATAGATATAATTGGGATTATCTAAATGCTTCCTTGTTAAGTAAAAATTAATGGATAAACTTTGCCAAGCTCTTTAATCCTTTAATTTTCAAATAAAAATCTGATTCTACAAGAATTGAATACTCAATATAGATATATAATAATTATTTAATTTTTTTGGATAATATTATTTTAATTAGATAGTTTTTGTTATTTTCTTTTCTTCCTCATTTTATCACAAATTACCCAAGATATACTCTCTATCTAACACTTACTCATATTTTTTTCTAAATCTAATACAAAAAATGTATATAAAAATAAGAATTTATGATAAAGAATATTAATAAAATGAATAAATAATGATTTTAATAATAATTGATTCTTGTTCACTCGTAATCACATTTTCTAATTTAAATTTCGTTGGATTTATCATCCCAAGTAATCAAATACTCTCCATCTTCACTCATCTATCCAAATAGAAAATTAGTTCCAAATTGAATAGATTATAATGTTATAAAATCATCATTTTGGTTTTTCCTTATCAAATTAACATTATAACCATTCTTATTAACAAGTAAACATTTTGAATTTATATATTATTAAGGAAAGTATACTTCACATCCATTATAATCACTTTTCACAAGAATATCTTTTGTTTTTGAATACTATTTATTAGTATTACTCATCTCATAAACATGCATCAACTCTTTAGAATAAGGTTAAAATGTGAATACATTATCATTAATGAAGCATAATCGATAACCATACTATTCAACTGTTATCTTTTATATTACATTCCATTTATAATCTTATGATGACTATTCTATTATTAATATAAACTTATCATATCCACAAGATATCAATTTATTTTATTACTCATTCAAACTTAATCCACATACAATATCTGTATGATCTGTAATAGTTTATGAACATAGCCATTACTACTTCTTTTACCAAAATTTAATTGTCTTATCATCACTTCCTGATATGATAAGATCTTCATTTTTGTTCAATACTAAACAAAAAATCCAATCAGAATGTCCATTCAATTTTTATGAGCTAATCCATTAATTATTATGATTGATAGACCATATAATAATCTATTTATCATGACTTGCAGATATAAATTGATTAGATTTGTTCATGAAATTTAAAGTAGTAACAGGATTATTATGTTCACTTAGAATTTAAGTTTATCTCAATTAATTTTATTTAAATTCAAATNAAACTTTGCCAAGCTCTTTAATCCTTTAATTTTCAAATAAAAATCTGATTCTACAAGAATTGAATACTCAATATAGATATATAATAATTATTTAATTTTTTTGGATAATATTATTTTAATTAGATAGTTTTTGTTATTTTCTTTTCTTCCTCATTTTATCACAAATTACCCAAGATATACTCTCTATCTAACACTTACTCATATTTTTTTCTAAATCTAATACAAAAAATGTATATAAAAATAAGAATTTATGATAAAGAATATTAATAAAATGAATAAATAATGATTTTAATAATAATTGATTCTTGTTCACTCGTAATCACATTTTCTAATTTAAATTTCGTTGGATTTATCATCCCAAGTAATCAAATACTCTCCATCTTCACTCATCTATCCAAATAGAAAATTAGTTCCAAATTGAATAGATTATAATGTTATAAAATCATCATTTTGGTTTTTCCTTATCAAATTAACATTATAACCATTCTTATTAACAAGTAAACATTTTGAATTTATATATTATTAAGGAAAGTATACTTCACATCCATTATAATCACTTTTCACAAGAATATCTTTTGTTTTTGAATACTATTTATTAGTATTACTCATCTCATAAACATGCATCAACTCTTTAGAATAAGGTTAAAATGTGAATACATTATCATTAATGAAGCATAATCGATAACCATACTATTCAACTGTTATCTTTTATATTACATTCCATTTATAATCTTATGATGACTATTCTATTATTAATATAAACTTATCATATCCACAAGATATCAATTTATTTTATTACTCATTCAAACTTAATCCACATACAATATCTGTATGATCTGTAATAGTTTATGAACATAGCCATTACTACTTCTTTTACCAAAATTTAATTGTCTTATCATCACTTCCTGATATGATAAGATCTTCATTTTTGTTCAATACTAAACAAAAAATCCAATCAGAATGTCCATTCAATTTTTATGAGCTAATCCATTAATTATTATGATTGATAGACCATATAATAATCTATTTATCATGACTTGCAGATATAAATTGATTAGATTTGTTCATGAAATTTAAAGTAGTAACAGGATTATTATGTTCACTTAGAATTTAAGTTTATCTCAATTAATTTTATTTAAATTCAAATACTTTAATATCTTTATCACAAGCAGCTAATACAATAGAATTATCTTATTTAATAGCTATTGTTCTACATTTTTGATCTTATTTAATAGAATGATTCTAGATTAATTTAAAAGTGAATGGTTTTAAATTTGATTAATGATTATTGTTTTATTTAATATTCTATAATATATATTCTTAATTAATCTCTTTAGTATTTTATTATTTAAGTTAAATTTACTATAATTAATTCTATATAAATGATTATTGAATAATTACATTGAATATAGGTTTAATTTCTTTAATTACTTCATGAACTAATGGTTATATTGAATTTAATGTAATTTAAGGAAATGCTGGTATACTCTTAACACATTATTAAGGAATAGATGGATAAGGAGCAAGAACAATTTAATCAAGATAATCGTCAATTCTACTAAATGAAGACTAATTATTAAATTAATATCTTACATCTATAGCTTAATACATCTCTTCAAGACATTCTTTTACTTTATTCTCTAATTTTACAACAATCAATTCACTATTCATTTTAATTATTATTAACATAATTAAATCAAATTTTCCATTTTCTATTAAAAATT